AGTGGCTTTAACCCAGGAGCAGTATACTCAACTGATGGCTTTGCTCAAACCGTCAATCAATCATTCACATTCCCTTTCTGCCAATCATGTTCCAAACACTCATTCCACAAGTCACACTGATGCACTCAAAGTTTCTGGTACTTATATATGTTTATCAGCTCATGATAATGAAAATAGAACAACCTCATCTATCCCTTAGATCATAGACGCAGGAGCTACTGATCATATGGTCTGCTCTATTTCGTGCCTCACAGAAATAAAATCTGAAGTTGCACATCCCATTAGACTACCTAATGGAGATGTCACCGTTGCCACTCATATAGGAAATGTTAAAATTACAGAAAATCTGCACCTCCATGATGTTCTTTTTGTTCCATCATTTTCATTTAATTTGATATCTACTAGGAAGCTTGCCAAGACATCAAGTTGTTGCCTTATATTTTCATCTGATCTATGTTTCGTGCAGGACCTTTCAACTTGGAAGACGATTGGTCTGGGTGAAGTGAGGCAAGGCCTATACCATCTAGTGCAAAATAAAGTCCCTCCTGATAGCTTGATTCAGAAATTACCAGAACTCACTAGCAAGATCACCATATTCGCTGCTGCTAATAAAGAGGATTTTGACCTATGGCACTTCAGATTGGGTCATCACTCAGATCCTAGATTGCGTCTGACCAACCTGCATCAAAATTCCAACCACAAGCACATCATGAAACTGTGTCCTATCTGTCCCTTAGCCAAACTTCATAGGAAACCATTCAATACCAGTTTGCACAGATCACAAAAATGTTTTGACTTAGTTCATTGTGATCTATGGGGACCGTGTACCAATGTTTCTTATGAAGGATCAAAGTATTTTCTCACTATTGTTGATGATCATAGTCGATGCACTTGGGCCTATTTACTAAAATTGAAATCAGATGCTTCAACTACTTTGCAGAGTTTCTATAATATGATTGAAACACAATTTTCTTCAAAAATCAAAGTGATTAGGACTGATAATGGAGGGGAATTTTCCTTAAAGGAATTCTACTCTAGTAAAGGAATAATACACCAAACCTCGTGCGTTGAAACTCCTCAGCAAAACGCTGTGGTTGAGAGAAAGCATCAACATATATTAAATGTGGCAAGGGCTCTGAAATTTCAGAGTGGTATATCTATGAAGTATTGGGGGGATTTCATTTTAACTGCTGTGTTCTTGATAAACAGAGTCCCTACACCGATTTTAAATAACAAATCTCCTTTTGAAATCCTCTTTAAAAACAAACCTGCATATAGTGATCTCAGAGTCTTCGGTTGCTTAGCATTTGCCACCACACTCACGTACAATAGGCACAAATTCAACTCAAGGGGGAGAAAGTGTGTCTTTTTGGGATATCCTTTTGGAACTAAGGGATATAAATTACTTGATTTAGAGACTGAAAAGATCTTTATATCAAGGAATGTAAAGTTCTATGAGGACGTTTTCCCCTTCAGAAACTGCAGAGATCAAGACTATGTTGATAGATCCAACCTTGATCATAGACTGCCTACTCTTTCTCAATTATCCTATCCAGAACTTGTAGACCTCAATTTAGATTATCCCCCGTTTTCAATACTCAATTGCCAGAAGAATCAGATCAGGAACCTAATCCAAATATTGAAATCTCAGAAGATGATCAACCTAATTCTGAGTATAGAGATCAACTTGAACTTCCAAATAACTCCTATGTTCCTCGAAGGTCTGAAAAAAGCAAGAAAACACCTGCTTACCTACAAGACTTCGTCTACCAACAAGTTGCCTCACTCACTCATTCTCAAACGTCTGATAAGAATAAAGGGACTGTGATTCCAGGTACTGCTTTTCCTTTATGTGCAACTGTATCATATCATAAACTATCTAAACATCACAAAGCTTTTGCATCATCCATCCTTGCACATTCTGAACCATCTACTTACCAAGAAGCTGTCAATACTCCCGAATAGTGCAAAGCTATGAAAGATGAGATTAATGCTCTTGAGTTGAATCAAACCTGGACTGTGACTGGCTTACCACCTGGAAAAGTTCCTATAGGCTGCAGATGGATTTACAAGATCAAGTTCAATGCAGAAGGAACCATCGAGAGGTATAAAGCAAGGCTTGTAGCGAAGGGATATACTCAATTGGAAGGAGTGGATTATCACGAGACATTCTCTCTTGTGGCGAAGTTAGTGACAGTAAGAACACTAATAGCCATAGCAGCAGCCAAAGGATGGTATTTACATCAATTCGATGTGAATAATGCATTCTTACATGGAAACCTAGAAGAGGATGTATATATGGAAATTCCCCCTGGGTATTCTATTGATCAAAATTCAGATTTGCACAACAAGGGATCTTTTAAAGTTTGCAAACTCAACAAAATTTTGTATGGCTTAAAGCAGGCCTCTCGCCAGTGGTACTCCAAACTATCCATTTTCATCATAGAGCAGGGATTCCAACAATCAAAAGCAGATTACAGTTTGTTTGTCAGCAGTACAGGTGATTCCTTCACTGCCATACTGGTTTATGTTGATGACATAATAATCGCCGGAAGCAATGAGAAAATAATTGATTCTCTTAAAGTTTTGCTTGATGAGAAATTCAAGATTAAAGATCTAGGAAATCTGAAGTATTTTCTTGGAATAGAGGTGGCTAGATCAACTAAAGGTATTCAAATCTGTCAAAGAAAATATGCATTGGATATTCTGTTAGACTTAGGGACAATTGGAGTTACTCCAACCAAGATCCCTCTTGATCAAAATGTTAAATTGCCCAAGGATGAAGGAGACACATTGCCTGATCCAGCCTCATACAGAAGGCTAGTTGGGAGACTGCTCTATTTGACTATTACCAGGCCTGACTTGTCGTATTCAGTGCACTTGCTGAGCCAATATATGCAAGCTCCTAGGACATCTCATATGAATGCTGCACGGAAGATACTCAGGTACATCAAGAGAGCACCAGGTTTAGGATTATTTTTCCCCTCAAATTCAAATTTACAACTCAAGGCCTATACTGACTCAGACTTGGGGGCATGTCCAGACTCTAGGAGGTCGATAACGGGTTATTGCATTTTCATTGGATCCTCACTAATATCTTGGAAGTCCAAGAAGCAAAATACCATCTCCAGGTCGTCTGCCGAAGCAGAATACAGAGCAATGGCAGCCACCTGTTGTGAGTTAACTTGGCTCAAATATATCCTTGATGATTCGCAAATCTCACATCCACAAGCAGCCGAGTTATTTTGTGATAATCAGGCAGCTTTGCACATTGCGGCCAATCCAGTTTTTCCCGAAAGGACTAAGCATATTGAGTTGGATTGTCATTTGGTTCGAGACAAAATACAAGAAGGAAGCATTGTTACAAAGCATCTAAGAACCGGTTTACAAATCGCTGACATTTTTACTAAACCCTTAAGTAGTGCTATATTTCATTCACATTTATCCAAGATGGCAGTAGAAGACATCTAATCTCCACCTTGAGGGAGGCTGTTGAATATTCAATCGTAAATGAGCTGCTGGAAGCTACTGGAATGGAGGAGTGTTGGCACCATACTAAAAGAAGTTAAATTGATTCCATTTTTATTTGTATATAACAGAATTTTGTTATTGCCACACATGCAAGGTTGTTGTATTTTTTGTCTATAAAAACCTTTGTAATTTTTCTTTATCAATCAATCAAAAATAGATCCACATTGTAAACAAATTTCTGCTTCATTGAATTGCCTATATATCAGTAGCATTTCTTCTTCTATTTGTTATAGATTCGTTGGACTCAAAAAGCACCTTCAAAGTTACCTTTGAATAAGAGAAATTGTGCATTTTTCTTGTAGGAATTTTTATAATAGGAGCAAGGAGTTCTCATTATTAACTTGCTCTTGTTTCATGTTGAGTAGTATCAAACTCAACGCCTTCTCAATCGAGTTAGTTCGATTCCCTAGGCCTAGGCCTTTTTGATGCTATGCACAAATTCAAACTTTTGCGTCGTTCAATTTTTATTGTGTGAAATGTTCAATTTGGATCACATTACTTCTTTTAAAATTAAGATACACTGAAACTACATTTTATTTTCAAGATGTTCGTCGCATATCTAACAAGTGAAATTCTCGCACGTTGACAATAAATTTGGAACTCACGAACTTTATTTCTTCACCTTGAGCTGCCTCATATATTGAATTTTTTGTTGATTTATACTTCATTTCAAGAGCATCTAAACTTTGTCAAAAGAAGAATTCTTTTATTTCTCTGACAAAGTGTAATAAATTTTTTTCCTTCTAATTTCTGAGAGGTTAAATGTATTTACAAATGAATTATAGTCATGGCGCCTAATCATTTCCGTTTTGTACTTAAAACAAACGTCTGATCTTTAAAATCCAATTATATTCAACACATTCGAGTTTACAATAATGTCACGATATTGTGGCATTATTGAAAACCCTGCATTGGTTTTCTAAATTGTTTTAGATGTTGAGTTTCAAAACAAATATGTAAACATTTTCCACTAAATATTTGAAACCGTGATCGCTTTGCAAATTCCTTTCGTTCTAGAATCACGAACTCCACCATTTTCCCTACGCGCTCTGCTCCTTGGTTTGTTTCTTGACTCTGATATCAATTATTATAGACAATTTGTATTTACAACACAAAAAAGAAGATTATCTCTCACTGGAACATAAAGAGAAAATTTGGCACATAAGTCCAAACAACATTACACGATGAAATAAACAATATTTTAATGTTTTTTTTTAGTAATTCTCAGTGGAGCGCACTAAACTTACCAGAAACGTCATACAAATGTTTGTTTATTGCCCAATCAAATTATTGCCCAATCATTTGTCCAAATTATTTTCTATTCCATATTTTCCTTTAACGGTGTCGATGGAGTCACGTCAGATTGAAATAAGGACAAAATGCACTGACTGAAAATCAAAGTATGAGTTCAACAACTCACAATTCAAAATTGTCTGCTGAAGAAAAGTATTATCTTGAACTCCCTACCAATGGCCATCTGCAACAATCATCCAAACCATGAGCTTCCAATAATGGAAGAAAAAGATCAAGTAGCTATAATAATGGTGCCATTTCCTGCTCAAGGCCACCTCAATCAGCTTCTGCAACTCTCCTGCTTAATATCCTCATATAAGATTCCGGTTCACTACATCGGCTCCACCACCCACAACCACCAAGCAAAACTCCGCGTCAACGGATTAAACGCTCAAGATGTAGATAAGATCCGTTTTCATGATCTTCCGACGCCACCCTTTGTCTCTCCTCCTCCAAATCCAAACTCGTCAAATAAATTCCCTGCACAAATGCAACCAGCGTGGAATGCCTCTATGAACCTGCGCCAATCGGTTTTTGAGTACTTAAGAGATATATCCTCTACGGTGAGGAGGATTATCGTTGTTCACGACCCTCTTATGGCCTTTGTAGTTCAGGATATTGCAACAATTACGAATGCAGAATCCTATGTATTTAACTGCATCTCAACGTTCGCGCAGGCCTCTCTTGCATGGGAAGGGATTGGTAAACCGTTCCCAATAGAACTACCAAAAGAGCTGCCCTCTTGGGAAGGACGTTCAACCGATGAACTTCAAGAATTTGCAGTTTTACAGTTTAAGCATTTAGATATCAGAGCTGGAGATATATACAATACCAGTAGAATTATAGAAGGAACTTATGTTGATCTATTGGCAAGGGAAGAGATTGTTGGGAGCCGGAAGGCGTGGGCAGTCGGACCAATTCTTCCGTTGAAATTATTCTCGAATAGCCAGCATAAATGTTTAGAATGGCTTGACAAACAAGATCCAAAATCTGTTATCTACATATCTTTTGGGACGACGGTTTCAATGTCAGACGAAGAAATCAAAGAGCTCGCGCTGGGGTTAGAACAGAGCAAACAGAATTTTCTTTGGGTATTGAGAGATGCGGATAAAGGAGATATTTTCGAAGGAGAAGTTAGACGAGCTGAGTTACCTGAAGGGTTCGAGGAGAGAACACGAGGAGTGGGAATGGTGGTGAGAGATTGGGCACCACAACCAGAAATTCTGGCTCATCCATCTACTGGTGGATTTATGAGTCATTGTGGATGGAATTCTTGCATAGAAAGTATTACAATGGGAGTGCCAATAGCAGCCTGGCCAATGCACTCCGACCAGCCTACAAACGCCGTGTTCATAGCAGATATATTGAAGACCGGTATTCTTGTAAGGGAATGGACACAGCACGAGGAGCTAGTGAAAGCATCGATGATTGAGAACGTTGTGAGAAGACTGATGGTGTCAGAAGAAGGAATTGAGATAAGGAAGAAGGCAGAAGAAGTAGCTGATGCTGTTAGGATGTCAACTGAGGCAGGTGGGGTGTCTCGAAAGGAATTGGATTCATTCATAGCCCACATCACTAGATAAAGCAATTTTCAACGTAACATGGTCTCCTAGTATATTGCTGCTGTTTTTTATTTTGTTTTCCTTTTACATAATTTGTTGAAGAAGCAATTAGCAGAAAATCTATGTGAAGTAAAAAACCGTGCTCAATCGGTTCAATAAATCTGTATAATATGTTTCTTTCGGAACAACAACTTCAATATCAGACGAAGAAGCTAGGGATATTGCAATTGAGCTTGAAAAATGCAAGAAAAATGTTCATTTGGGTTCTTAGAGATGCCGAGAGTTTAGAAAAATTGAATTACCACAAGGGTTGAAAGGAAGAGTGGATTGTGTAGCAAATTAGAGTATTATCTTACTTTGAGAGTAACAATAAGAATAAAAAAAAAGGAAAATCAACCACATTCGTCAATGCTGATTCTCATGAATTTCTCGCACGTCACACGAAAAGTGGCCCCTAAAATCCCTTACATGTGCAAGAATGTTAGAATGGTAAAAAATATATGTCCGCAATACCCAATATACTCCAAAGTCAAAGTAAATTTAAATTTTCCTTGAAGCCACCAATCTATGTATGTTGAATCCGTAGTTGGGGACATAATGCACAATATTATTACGTTCCACAGAGTCCAATAGAAACAATGATTATCGTGACGAAAGACCGGGATCATCAACTAGAAGTTCTTAGCTGAAAATCAATTAAGTCACTGTGGATTGAATAAATCAAAGAAAGTATTGCAATGGTACCAATAGCAACCAGGCCAGTGCATTCTAGCTAACCACTTAATTTTGTTCTTGTGATAGAATTTATCGTTTATTTGAATTTTTTTTCTTGTATTCACTCACCCCATTTTTAAAGCATTGAATCCGATGATTATAAGCATGTTCAGATGTTCTTAAAAGTTAATTAAGACTTGCATTCTAGAAAAATAAGTAAGATCGAAAAAGAAATGACTTTCAAAATCATATTTGACAAAATAAGTAACTACAACCATACATGTTGCAGGTCACATTGCAAAATGAGTTCTTAAGTAGAATTAAAGTTTCCACGTCTATATATACACACACATATATAGACTTCCCTTAAAAAAGGATTACGTTAGTGAAAAATAAGCTTTTAGCTGTCAAAGGGACATCAAAACCATTATAATAAATCGTTCGAGCAAATTCCAAAATTGCTCGTCCATTACTATCTGCTTTGGAAAAAAAAAAAAAAAAGAATTGTAGTAATCCTGTATCGTATCTGTGTATGTCTCCTCCTCACCATAAGAACTGATGATGGCTTGATCCAGATCCAACCCCTCATTATTACTTTCTTTCATTTAGGATTTAGGACTTGAGAGATTCTTGAGATCCCTTTCCTTCGCATACCAGTCTGGTATTATTTTTGCAGCATGCGGATACAGATCCTTGTATGCATTCTTGATAGTCCCTTCTGCAACTGTGGTAGCAATTGAAATATCTGCATGCACGCCGTTTCGATCAAGTACGCATGCACATGACTTAAGAAAAAGAAAATTATCCTAAAAATTCACTGCAAACACCAAAGAACACAGATGGTGAATGCTCAAACCTGGCAGGGCTTTCTATGAATCTGACAGTTGGGTTATCATGAAAATAATTGCTGCAGCAATGATTATCGGGCTCTTTTTTTTTGGATAAGGTAAGTATATTATATCCAAAGTGTGAAAATAAAGTACATGATCATTGGGCATACCCCAGAAAAACAAGTCTACGAATTTACGTCCTCCTAGCATCAAAAACGATAACCTAGATTAGAGCTTATAACCTAATCACGACAATTGAAAATATTCGCAGAAAAACCCCATAAGCGTTGGAGCCATCTATTCTCACTAGATGGGACCAAACCTTTACATAAATCCACTCGTGTACAAACAGAAAAAATAATATCTCGAATAACAACAGATTCATGTTTAGGAGTCACATCATGGGCCCTAGCATTACGCTCACGCCAAATAGCATAAATCGAAGCCGCAAACATCAAACGAATACCAATGGACCGCAATGCCCTCCCACGACGCTGCTCCCTCCAAGAAAGAGTATCTGCCCAACTCCGTTACCAACTCCGTTGAACCCAAGACAGGCCAAACACGCTCAGAAAATGGGCAAGCAAAGAAAAGATGATCCAAGTCCTCCTCCGAACATCCACACAACACACAACGTATATACTGTACCAAACCAAAGCAAAACAGCTTTGTCTGTGTATAAAGGCCACCCTGAATTGCTAGCCAAAGGATAAATGCATGACGGGGAATATACTTAGGAAACCATACAATGTGATACCAAGTCACACTAGGGAAACGAAGTCGAATAGACTCCCAAGCATTCCGAACAGAGAAGACTCCATGCACATCATCCACCCATCGCAAGACATCCTCTCTAGTACTATCCGGTCGAAAAGTATCAAGTGTATCTCGCATTAGATCTGACAACACTGGGGAACGAGCTGATGGCCACCTTCAGCTATCACCCTCAACAATATCAGCCACCTTAGCTACTCTACTAAATCTAGATTCATGAATGATCCTCTCACCAAGAATCTTCTGTAAAGGGCCAAGACGATGCCAATTATCAAACCAAAGAGAAGTACGTCTACCGTTACCAATTATAAATTTCATTTTGTCCCTTCCTATCTCCCGAAGTGCAAGAATCTTCCTCCAGATCCAAGAGCAATCCCCAGGACACTTCAATTCCCAAATGCTTCGGCCTTTAAGTAAGTAACTTCGTTCCCACGAAACCCAAAGAGAAGAGGCAGAATCCGTACAAATGGACCAAAGGTATTTTAACTTAGCAGCCTTATTCCAAATCTCTATGCTCCGCAAACCCAAACCACCCTCTTTCTTAGGCATACAAAGTTTCTCCCACACTACTTTAGTCCCTCCGGTGCCAAGGTCACAACCTTTCCACAAGAAGGCACGTAGAGTAGCCTCCACTTGCTTGATCACAGCCTTAGGTAAAATAATTACGGAAGACCAATATACCTTAATAGAAAATAACATAGAAGGCAAACCACAACCTGTAACAATCAATGAGAGAGTAAATAAATGTATTTCCTGGATTCTATTGACGATAAAACCACTCTTTAAAAGTGAAATTTGCGTCTGTTTTCCAGGTCTATTTATAATCAGGACTCCAGATCGGTAAAGCATATGTTCTGAATTATCAACAAGTAGGTGTTTCACGTGCAAATGTGGATGATTATTGTGATCACATTTAGAATATCTATGAGTATGCTTTAGATGCAGAATAATTTCAACTTCACAATGAATAATCATCAGGAAAACGAAAATTTCTCAGACATGGTTGAAAAAATAGAATTTTTAAACCCCAAAGAAAAAAAAATCTAAAAAATCTCAAACATGTTTGGTAAAAGAGTTTCTAAAGACCAATTCACCTTGTCCGAGTAGGTTAAGGGTTGTTGTTTCCACTGTAAGAAACCAACCAAGATATCAAAATAGTTCTGATACAAATTATTGTGAAACAAACTACCAGACTGAGATGTTGAAATTATATGGCAAATAATAATAAAGTATTTGATCAAGCGAAAGAATAAAGAAGACAAGAATATGGTAGAGGAATTAAGAGATTTTATTGATTCAAGAATAATGGAGAGTAGAGAAAATTACAATAGATCCTAAAATTCTAGTAATCTATTTTTTCACATGTAATTGTTACAAAAAAATTGTATAGAAGAGCCTAGTGCTTATAGGAAATATGTAAGGGACGCCCAAACCTCTTGATAGAGTTGTTAATGAAGTAGGATGCCAAAAAACCGAGTTCAAAATGAAGTAGAAGAGAAAAAATCGCGAACAGGTTACTGTAGCAGCGCTTAGACGCTAGGTTTTGGGTTAATATTCCAAAACATGCTTTCAAAGTATTTTTCTCCATCCCGAACTCTTCTTCAAGTTTAATATCAATTTCCAACTCCCAATCAACTTCCAAAATAGAATTTCAACTTGATATAGGACCCCAATAGCATTCCAAAATTGAATTATTCTTGATGTTCACTACAATTAGACTTCAAATAAGGAATTCGAGTCAAACCCAAATTCTAACCATCTCCACCTTGATACGAATTTCACCAAGAAATAAACTGACTTCTTCAACAATAATCAAAAAATTAATTTCTCCAACCAAACACAAAATACTCTACCTCTTCCAATGAATTCAAGCACTACTCTACAGAATTACCTCAGATTCCAAAAAATCATAATGATTTTATAATTTACCAAAATGGGCGATAACACATCCTAAAGCAGAATCAATACCAAATGCTTTTATAGAAGGCTCTTTGCTAGAGTGTACACCTTCTACTCCATTTAAAGCATACTCAACAAAATCAACATCCACATACCTTGTTCCACTGAGTCTAACTCTAGCAACTGAATACAATGGCACTGCAATTGATAGTGGCAAAGCGGTATTATCTATGTCTTCAAAACTCCACTAAGCTGTATTTTTCAAATCTGACCCTTTATGAGCTCCTAAAGGTATTGTACCAAATTGAATGTCCACCATGGTACTGAACCTGTGCTGATTGATTCTTTCAAATTCTGCATGACCCTGCAAGATGTATGACTGAGACCTTTTCTGTCCCTCCAATATAACATGAGCACCCTTACAGACCTTCAAAACTCCACATCCACCAAAGAACTCATAACCCTTTGAATTAAGGATAGACAAATATATGATATTCTTCTTCAAATCTAGAATGTGTCGAACCTAGCCAAGTGTTCGAATTGTTCTATCCAAAAGTTTCAATCTGACTGTACCAATTTCAGCAACCCGACAAGATGCGTTATTTCCCATAACCACGATACCTTTGGAAACAGTTTCATATGTAACAAACAAGTCCTTATTTGGACACATATGAAACACATATGCTGAATCAAGAATCCAACCATCTTCCGATTTAGACTCAATGTCAGAAATAGCTAAGAGCTCTCCATCATTTACAACGTTCTCCACGAGGTCTGCTTCGCCTAAAGTATCTAAATGTCTACTTGTAGCCATATTTTCTTTATTCTGCAACTTGCAGCAATCCTTCTTCAAGTAACCCTTCTTCTTACAGTAGTTACAAATTTGATTACTGAATTTAGACTTCGATTTACCCCTTCCAGAAACACCATGAACAACCAGGCTTTCTCCATCTTTGGTATCAGAAACCAGATGCTTCATCTTCTCTTTTGAAAACAAAGTATCATAAACTTCCTTAATGGTAAGAGTATCACGACTATATAAGATCGTGTCTCTAAATGAAGAAGGTGAAATGGGCAACGAATACAATAGGATCAAAGTCAAATCTTTTTCATCATACTTAACTTCCAATGTTTCTAAATTAGTGACGATCTCCTTAAATACAGTTAGGTGATCTTCCAATGATCCTCCTTCTGCCATGCAATGAGAGTATAGCCGCTGCTTGAGATGCAATTTACTTGTAAGACTTTGGGTCATGCATAATTGCTCCAACTTCAACTACAAAGCAGCTGCTGACCTCTCCTTCAAAATATCCCGAAGAATGAAATTTGACAGATGAAGATGAATGTGAGAAATTGCCTTTTTATCCTTTCGAAATATCTCTTTCGCGGACAAAGTTGCTGGCATCCTTTCAATACCCAGCAACGCATCATCCAAATCCAATTGTGCGATTACTGTACGCATCTTAACATGTCATGGCGAAAATCTAGTGCTTCGATCCAAAAGAGAAATGTCATACTTCATGGAAGCCATCACGAAAAAAAAGCTTCGAACAAATCAAACTCTGCGCTTTTGCGGAACTGCTGAACCTTGGCTCTAATACCACTTGTAAGAAACCAACCAAGATACCAGAATAGTTCTGATACCAATTATTGTGAAACAAACTACCGGACTGAGATGTTGAAGTTATATAACAAATAATAATGAAATACTTGATCAAATGAAAGAATAAAGAAGACAAGAATATGGTAGAGGAATTAAGAGATTTTATTGATTTAAGAATAATGGAAAAGAGAGAAAATTACGATAGATCCTATAATTCTAGTAATCTATTTTCTCACATGTAATTGTTACAAAAAAATTGTATAGAAGAGTCTAGTATTTATAAGAAATATCTAGGGGACGTTCAAACCCTCTTGGTAGAGTTGTTGATGAAGTAGGATGCCAAAAAATTGAGTCCAAAACGAAGTAGGAGAGAAAAAATCTCGATCAGGTACTATAGTCGCACTCAGGCACTAGACGAATTCCTTGTTTGAATATTGAAGAATTCTAATTGTAGTAAACATCAAGAAAAATTCAATTTAGGAGTGCTATTTGAGTCATATATCAAGTTGAAGTTCTATTTTGGAAGCCCATTGGGAGTTGGAAATTGATATTAGACTTGAAGAAGAGTTCGAAATGGAGAAAAACACTTTGAAAGCATGTTTTTGGGAGTTGGAAATTGATATTAGACTTGAAGAAGAGTTTGGATCGAGAATATCACTTTGAAAGCATGTTTTGAAATATTAACTCGAAACCTAGCGCCTGAGGGGGTCAAACCCAAATTCTAACATCCCCAAATGAGATCAAAGGCTCAATGATTGGTATCTCCCTCCCCTCTGCTCCCCCACCTCAAAGAAAAAAGGGTTGCTAAAGTAACTTCTATGCTTAGACAAACATACTTGCATCTTTCAATCTCCCCTACCTAGTTCTTCAACCTTTCCCAGTTACCATTTATGCAAATACAATATATTCCAGTGACAATTTGTCTGAGAACTAACATAGTGCAGAAAAATAAAGCCCGCTTCTAGAACAACGTACGCAAACCTTTTATTCTTCCTTTACTTTGAGTATACTGGACACTTCATCCTTTTTCTAAGACAAATGACCACACACCCAGATCAATCTGGCCTCTCCGATATACATTTTCAGCCTCATTAACTCACTTTATTTTTACAATATACAACCTTCCAGATTCATTCATTTTTTCCATGCTAGAAATTTTCAACATAAACACCTATGTCAAAAATTTTCAAGCACAGAAACTAAGAAATTTATATTTCATTAATTAATGCGTGCCAAACAACGAGGCAATGTGTAAGCACTATTACATGATAGAATGTTATGAAAAATGAAGTTTCAATCAAACCAACGTGAGATGGTAGATAATATATCACAGTACCTTATATCAAAGTCCCCTGACTTCTTGACAGTTTCTTGGGCAGCTTTGATTTCTTCATGGCTCACACCAAGATTAGAACAAAAACGTCTCTGATAAAAAAGTAATAATATAACCTTGAGGGATTGTTCAATTGGGAGTAAATTGCCCAAATAGTCATTGAACTTTATGTCATGCTTCCAAGGGGTCATTGAACTTTCAAAATCACCTAAATCATCACTGAACTTTGCAAAAGGTTTCCACAAGGTCACTGAACTTTAAAAATCACCTCATTCATCACTGAACTTTGCAAAAGGTTTCTACATGATCACTAAACTTTGCAAAAATGTTTACTAGGAGATCACTGAATTAGTGACCCTTGAAAAACCTTTTACAAAGTTCAGTAATGAATTATGTGATTTTTAAAGTTCAGTGACCTCGTGGAAAACTTTTGCAAAGTTTAGTGATGACTTTGGTGATTTTGAAAGTTCAGTGACCTCTGGAAGTATGGCGTAAAGTTTAGTGACTATTTGGGCAATTCACTCCTCAATTGGTGAGGCATTATGTTTGCTCTACAGTGGTTACCAGTTCGAGTCCCCTCATGGCCACTGAAGTGAGTACCCGTCCGTAAATTTTAGGGCCTCGTAGGATTAGTCAGGTGCGCGCAAGCTGGTCCGGATATCTATGGTTATAAAAAAAAAAAGTAATAATAGATGAATGAGATTAACTTTGTAGGGTTTTGATAAAAGAGTGGACTGTGTTGTGGATTAACTTTGTTGGGTTTTGATACCCGGTGAATTCGGGCGATGACTTAAATGTTGGATTAAATTATTACCAACAACCAAGTCCAAAGGCTCAATCTGAAAATAACGTGGGCCTTTGGAAGTAACTTAAACAATTAATGTTGTTCATGGTCCATATATTTTACCTCTTGGATGTCTTTGAATCTTAACCCATTTAACCTCTTTTATTGGCCCAACTAAAGCATAACCTAGCCTATATATATGGCTTCTTTGCCCTAGCCATTTTGTGTGT